GAGGCGGACGTGCCGGCGCGCACGACGACCGCGCCGGCTGGGGGGGACGTGCGCGAGGCTCCGAGTGCCGAGCCGGCGCTGAACAGGACGAGGAACAGGGAGGAGGCGGAGATTGCAAGGCGCATTGAGGTGGAGAAAGTCAGGAGTTGGACTGCTGCCGGTATGTCGAAAGACTCATTTGCTTTTTATGCGCCACGGAAAGATCACCGCTTTACGTGCCGCTGCATCACAGATGTGTGCCCTGGCATGATGAATGTATACGTGAGGATCCCTCGCCGACCAGTCCTCGCGGTGTGATGCGCTAGCTTCGGTGTCTTTCTGGGCTCAAGTTGGTGCGGTGACGCGGTCGAGAGCCATCGAACGGCTGGAGAAGACCATTTGGAAGCTTACTGGGCGCCGATTGACCGTCTCTCGGACTTAGCATTTCGCATACTCGTAGTCCAGGCTGCCAGGAGCCTCGGCCAGCTGTAATCCTTGCCCTAGTTCCGGCCACCCTAACCGCGGCCCCATTTCCGACTCCTTCCTGCGAGTTGTCCAGTCGACAGTTTGCGTTACGGGTGCAAAGATCGAGAGGGTGGAATTCAATTCTGCTGTTCCCAGCTCCCGTTTGAGAGACGCTACAGGAATTTGGATGCGCACGCCATCCACGACGGTGAAGGAAAGAGTGGCAACGACGGATTCGCACGTTTGTCGAGCCCACGTGTCGATGTCCGATCGTGCCGAAACCGGACCGGACTTGACGTTTACGAGGAACAACACGCGGACTGCTGTCGCGCTCATCGCGACCATGTAGGGCGAACTCGCCGCGCTCGTTGGCAGTGTTACTCAGCCCTAAATTTACAGCTCTGCAGGGTTCACAAGTATAATCACGTACATTCTGTGTTCGTTAAATGAGAGGGAAACGAAAGACCCGCGGCGGCTCGCTGGTCGACAGGGCTGACTGGGACCTCCTGGAGCTCTGAGAGGAAACCTTCTATGCGTTTCGTATTAGGTTTCTTTAGAGGTCCTCTGGGTCCTCACGTGGTACATTCAATATTTTGCCTATTTGTTGTTATCTCTCCCCCACCAATGAATGAGTTTCTGCGATGACGAAACCGGCTGTTTTGTCAACAAGTTCTGTCATTTTTGAACCAGAGAACTGCTTCCAGCGCGATGAAACAATTCCCTGATCTCTGGATAGAGAGAAAGACTTGGCTCGAACTTCGTTTCGAGAACGTCTCTCAGCGTTCTATTCGGTGCTTCAGTGCAACTTATGTCTTGAAACTGGGAATATCTCAGTCCCCAAACAGAAGTAGCTTGAGAGATCGAAAGGTTCTCGTGATCGTGTGCACAATCACGAGCTGTGACTCAGCACCATCACGCACCTCTTGACTTCCTTCTGCATGCTTCCAGCATTCAGCCGCGTCTTCCGTTCTTCTTCAGCGCTGGCTGCGCTATCAAGCACATTGTCCGGCTCCGAATTTCTGTCAAATGGGCGTTTTCCGCGTGCTACCTTGCCCAGGTCAGCCTATTTATAGCTTTCGTCACGGCCATCGTGGGGCTGTGGAGCATGGCCGAACAAGGAGACGCGTGAATTAGCATATGTTGCGAACCCAGTTTCTGAATCATTGAGTCCAGATGGCAGCAATTATGCCTCTCACGACTGTTCAAAAGCATCGCGCGAGCATATGAACCGCGCTTATCTGTGCGCGTCATTGCAGTGGAGATAGGACAATCAAGTACATGCGAGGCTTTGGAGAGCGCTCACTGAGTGCGGACATTGAATGCGAGCAGATAAAAAGCTGCCAACTGTGAGCAGGACATCCAAGGTCCTATCCAGGTTCTCTCCCTTTCCAGCTCACAATGGTCTTTGCCTCTGCCCTCGTCTCGCTCCTCCTCGCCGCTGCTGCCCTCGCGGCTCCCCGCAGCAACATCGGAGGCCGCCAGGCCCGCCGCCGCATGTCTGGCCCGCGTCTCCCGTCTGAGGGCCCGCACGCGAACCTCATCTCCAACTCGACCTCCCAGGTCTCCTACAGCCAGAACTGGGCCGGAGCCAGTTTCGAGAGCCCCTCGGGCACGTACACCTCCGTCACCGGCACCTTCACCGTCCCTACCCCCAAGTCACCCGGCGGTTCGGGCAGCTACGCGGCCTCCGCCTGGGTCGGCATTGACGGCGACACCTGCTCGAGCGGCATCATGCAGACTGGCATCGACTTCAACGTCGACAGCGGCCGCGTCTCCTTCGACGGTCAGTTTTTTGTTTGCATACAATCTCGCGTGCGCCGATCTGAAGTCGTGAATAGCCTGGTACGAGTTCTACCCCGCGTTTGCCAGCGACTTCTCCGGCTTCTCCGTCAGCGCTGGTGACGTGATCACCCTCGTCGCGACCAAGAAGTCCTCCACTTCCGGCAGCGTCTCCATCACCAACGAGTCCACCGGCAAGAGCGTGTCCAAGTCGCTCTCCGGCAGCGGCAAACTCTGTGGCGAGAACGCGGAGTGGATCGTTGAGGACTTTGAGGAGGGAAGCTCGCTCGTGCCGTTCGCCAACTTCGGCACTGTCACGTTCACCAATGCCAAGGCTACTCTCGCCTCGGGTGGAACCGTCGGACCGAGCGGCGCACAGCTGCTTGACATTGAGCAGAACAGCATCCTGACCTCCGTCAGCACGACCTCCAGCTCTGTGACCGTCAAATACGTGTAAAGTTCTGTTGATCTGGTGGAATGTGCCGTCAGTTTGTTCACGTAGCCGCGCACTTCTTTGTAACAGAATTGTATTCAATCTCAAGCCCATTTATACAGCGAATGCTTCCCTTGTCCGGTGAGGAAGGATGTCCAGATCAAAAGGCAGTCAGGAGAAGGCTTTCCTCCATTGAGTCGAAGACTGGTCAGACCATTCTCTCTCAGACCCTTCTTTCGAGAGAGTCAATTCATTCAAAGCGTTCCTTTCTCCATTCCGTCAAAGTTATGATGATCTTCTGTCACTCAATAAGCATAACATTGGTGCATTAATATCAGTGCATTTCTGCCTGTGCCTATTGAGTCTTCCCAATTCATCGTACTCGACCTTTGAGAAACGGGCCACCTAATCGCAGGTGTTGCATCTGTCATCATCTGTGATATCACCATCGCTGCAGAGCTCAAGGCCAAACAGGGCAACTAGTCGCTTGGTGAAGAATCATGAACATCAGTCCGCACAGCCCTCCGAAACTACCACCACTTGAAGTTTGGCAGAGTCTTGGGCGTAGAGCCTAGCGTTTAGGATGTCGGGTCCAGACATTCACCGGATCATGGATGTTGGATGATCGTCAGGACATATTGTATCTGCGCGAGTCTCTCTCAACCTACATAAATAAGTCCATAGCTGCCGGCCTGGTGATCCTGAAAGGTCGCAGTAAAGTGAGCTCCGGCATAGGGACAAGGCTGAACGGACATAGCTGTGTCCACATAGCGCCCATGAACTCGACGATCAGCCGCCTAGTGGCTTCGATGCTCGTGATCTTCGACTTACGCTTGAAAGATCGTTACCCAACCCTTGAGAGAGGGAGTAATGGCCGGTGACTGTCTCATGCTGCCAGATTTTGGAAGCATCGAGCGTATTGCTAAGGTTGTGATAAAATTTGGTCGCATAGGCAGGGCGTGGCGCATCAGACAAAAGGCCGTCTCAAAGTATCTTGACGGCTTCCCATTTGAATGCAGCTCGAGACACGCAGTCGAATACATCATGCGCCTGAACGCTTTGGAGCTGTGCCGATGCAAGGAATGTTCCTGATTCCTTCTTCAGTTGGCCCTACTTTAGCGATGACTTGGACATTTTGAGTGGTTCGATCGTGTTTGTCAACGAGATGAACGAATTACGTGAAGCAGATGCTTGCATGTGATTTATGTGAAGGGAGATCATCAGCGTCGCATTGCTTGAGATGATAAGAGGAACTATAGTAGGCTGTGCGATTATTTGGGAATTTTGGCTCAGCTGCTATGAAGAAGGTACAATCGACTCTGAAAAGCGAAGTTATCCTCGATGCACGTACTTATAATTATAGCTTACAATCAGTTATCACTTGATCAGTCGAGCTCATGGGTTATAACTCAAAATCTGACAGCTTAGATGATTAACGGAAGCTGATAGTCTACAACTTATCAGGCAGGTTATCCGAGCAGAGCACTTATTACTTAGATTACACAGTGAATGAGGTACATAGGAAGAAGGCTCTTATTCATTTACAAGCTGAGGGAGTTGATACCTTCTCAACAGTTTCTTGTACGGTACCTCCCCTTCTTTTTATTGATTTCATTGATTCCTTTTCACGACTCGAAGCTGATCTAGATAATGATGCAATCATTACATATCGTCACGGCGATCGAGAATTTCGGTCAATGAGACTCCGAGTTATCCATTACAGCGTTCAGCAACTGTGTCACTAGAAAAACATTCCAGATATTGACACAGTCCGACCGTGTTCACTTCCATGAGTAGGGGCACCTTACTCGTGGACGCAGATTTATCTCGAAGCTTGTGCTGAGCCATGATTTCGGAACGCAAATCTCCATGGAAGGCAAACTCCGCAGTAAATCTATTTTTTGTGGACCGTCTCACTGTTACAACGACCCCGACCGATCGGCATTCAGATAGTCTTCTCGTCATCTGCTGACTCGTCCGGCTACCCGTGCTGCGCCGCTTGACGTCCGTTGTTAGATGGGATATTGAACTGGCCCGTTACGGCGAGCGCGAGCCACGCGAGAGAGCTATATCTGACCGATACTACCATCTCCGGTGGAGTTCTATCATTGAAAATACGACATTCAACGATTCTCGTAGCTCAACGTGGGTGCCGGTGCATGTGGGCGGAGAACTCACATGGACCAGTGGGGTATCTATCGACTTCAGCATGCGGGACGAAGTAGATAAGCCGTACAACGGAAATGACCACTAGATCAGTATAAAACGCAAGGCTGGTGAGCCTGGTGATTTCCAAGGTCCCACCTCGGTATCCTCTCAGCTTCTCCCACAACCAAAGTTGAAAATGGTCTTCGCCTCCGCCCTCGTTTCGCTCCTCCTCGCCGCCGCCGCCCTCGCGGTTCCGCGTAGCAACATCGAAGGCCGCCAGGCCCGCCGCCGCATGTCCGGCCCGCGTCTTACGTCTCAAGGCCCCGCGGCGGCGAACCAGATCTCCAACGCGACCTCGCACGTGGCATTCAGCACGAACTGGGCGGGTGCCAGTCTCGAGAGTCCCTCGGGCACGTACACCTCCGTCACCGGCACCTTCACCGTCCCTACCCCTAAGTCCCCCGTGGCTCGGGCAGCTTCGCTGCCTCGGCGTGGGTCGGCATTGACGGCGACACCTGCTCAAGCGCGATCATGCAGACCGGCATCGACTTCAACATCGACAACGGCGTTGTCTCCTATGATGGTGCATTTTCTGCGTCCCATTTGGCGTTTGGGTTTCTCACTGACGCATTAATTAGCCTGGTACGAGTACTACCCCGCGTTTGCCAGCGACTTCTCCGGCTTCTCCGTCAGCGCTGGTGACGTGATCACTCTCGTTGCGACCAAGTCCTCCACGACCTCCGGCAGCGTCTCGATCACCAACGAGTCCACCGGCAAGACCGTGTCCAAGTCGCTCACCGGCAGCGCCACGCTCTGTGGCCAAAACGCGGAGTGGATCGTTGAGGACTTTGAGGAGGGTAACGCTCTCGTGCCGTTCGCCAACTTCGGCACTGTCACGTTCACCAATGCCAAGGCCACTCTCGCGTCGGGTGGAACCGTCGGACCGAGTGGCGCGCAGCTGCTCGACATCGAGCAAACAGCGTCCTCACCTCCGTTAGCGCGACCACGAGCTCTGTGACTTTAAATACGTTTGAGTGACGAGACACAGCGATGGGTATGTAGAATTTTGTGTTCATCGAAATATCCAA